ATCAAATTAATTATTATTGCTTAGATTTTGAAGAGAAAACTAAGGCTTAATACTTCCAGTCCAGTTTTCTAACTGCTCAGACAAAACTGTATTTTATAGAATCTTAAATATTTTTTTATTTCAATTTCTTCCCTTTGACAGCTCAAGTATACAAAAATTCACTATATAAAAATATTGGGTTTTTCTATTTCTAGAGATCCCATTTATGTAAGTATTTATATAAATAAACCTAAACCATAGAACTTAAAATCAGTGACCAAACTCAGAGCAGAGGCACAGACATAAGGTGACGGTGACTCTGCTGGGCCCCTGGGCCCTTCTCGGGCAGTCTTGGACCTCGTTTTGAGGTCATTGTGGTTGGGACCCACTTTCCTGCACTGAATCTGTAAGCACCTGTCCCACACTCCTTGGCATAGACTTCACAGCCCTGAAACTCAGAGAGGATACTGGCTGTACTTCTTGGGCCACCAGAAACACCATAAAAGCTTATTAATAGGGACCATGTGCATTAGAATTTTTAAAATACTCACTTGAATAATGTCTGGCCTCCACAATGTCACTTTATGTGCAAGTTTATCCTTAAACGATTAACTTAAAAAAGTAACTTGCTCTGCAAATTAACTGTATATATAAGAAAATGTTTGGCTCAAGAAAACACATTGTTTTCCAAAATACTAAACCTACCAGGAAAACAAAGATCTGCTGTGGGTAGTGATTTGATATATTAATTACAAATCATCCCATCTACTTTTTAAAGCTGGAATTCTACTATTCAATAACTGGATGGCTCAGTTTCAGTTATTAACTGTGTCTGAGAGTCATAACATTTTTACAAATTCTGTAATTCATACTTTTCATTAAATCAGACAGGCCTAACACAATTAGTCCAAATAAATAAAATTTGATTATACCTTTTAAAATGGGAGTCCATTTTCCTATGCACACATTATTTGGTCTATTAATTTGCCAAATGGCAAATGCACCCAACAGTCAGTGTTCCTGATAGTTGTAAAATAAGAAAAGACACCAAGATGGAGCCCACTGGCTGCTGAGACAAAGTCTTGGTCAAGCGTCACTGTTCAGAGGCACTCTCAGCACTGTCAGATCAGAAACGTGCATTTCTCAGTTACTCAGCCCTGGTCAGGCTCAGGGGACTGACTCATGTTTACACAAACCCTCAGAGGCTGATTTAAAAGCCAGGACACCAATTTATTAATTTACAATGGGAGAGCTGCCTGGTTTGGGGATCAGGACAGGGTGTTCTAACATAGGGTTTGGACCCCACAGAAACAGGTCTACCCAGGGGACCAAATTAAAGATCAGAAGGTTGCCTGGTTAGCAAAGAATTAAAGCAAAGGGAACAGATTTCCTCAAGAGAAACTTCTGTTGGGCCACCGAAGCCTCATCAGGTACACTTTGCGACTCTACACGACACTCATGGCCTCCCACAGAGCCGAGGCCTGACGTGGAGAACCAGCACAGGCCTGCATAAACACACTGACACGCCCCTAATTTAATGCCCTCCCTCCCATGAATGCCTATTTTCAGACAGGTTGAACTTTCTTCAGGTACTTTCCAGTCAGTAGGTCATACCCCAGTCACTTTCCCTCCTGTGAGACAGATATAGAAGGAAATTTTCAGCTGCTATCTGTTGATTTTCACCAGTTTCACACTGACCTCATCCCAAAATACAAGGAGCACTCGACCTGGGAAATGTGTGCAAAACTGCAAAACAGCACAATTGGTTGTAATTCTGACAAAATCACGACCTGGCCTGCCTCAGTCTCATGGCCTCCCACAGAGCCGAGGCCTGACGTGGAGAACCAGCACAGGCCTGCATAAACACAGTGACACGCCCCTAATTTAATGCCCTCCCTCCCATGAATGCCTATTTTCAGACAGGTTGAACTTTCTTCAGGTACTTTCCAGTCAGTAGGTCATACCCTGGTCACTTTCCCTCCTGTGAGACAGATACAGAAGGAAATTTTCAGCTGCTATCTGTTGATTTTCACCAGTTTCACACTGACCTCATCCCAAAATACAAGGAGCACTCAACCTGGGAAATGTGTGCAAAACTGCAAAACAGCACAATTGGTTGTAATTCTGACAAAATCACGACCTGGCCTGCCTCAGTGTACCAAGATGCAACCACGCCAACAAAATCATACTTGGGCAAAGAGCCACAAAGGCTAAAACACAAAGCTGCATAGCACCTGGAAAGCAGCAGGAGTCTCAGGTTAACAGCTTTCAATGTGTGATAAGCGAATGGGGTTCAGTCCGTGGAGGGAAACTTTGTAAATTACTATTGTGTAAAATACACATAACATGAAATTTACTATATTAACCAGTTTTTTTTTTTCCTTTTTGTCTTTTTTTGTGACCGGCAAAGGATCACAACCCTCAGTGTCGCGCCCGTACCGGACCGGGACCGGCAACGGGATCGCAACCCTCGGTGTCGCTCCCGCACCTCGCTCAGCCAGTGAGCGGCCGGTCTGTATGTGGGATCCGAACCCTCGGCGGGAGTGCCGCTGC